TGCTGCTGCTGCTGCTGCTCTGACTCGCTTTTGCCGAAAAGATATGGACATGTTTTCTAGAGCTTGTCTCTCTTGACTGCTTTCTGCGTCTTCATAGCTGCTTAGTTAACTATAGCCTACAACTGCAGGCACATAATTTGCTGCTTTCTTATTCGTGCTGCCCACACATTGTTCGTCAAGCGAATGACGTTTTTTATTAATTCAACATATTTGTTGTGCGGGGTCCACACATTGCAGTTCTTTCAGGCTGTTGTTGTTGTTGTTTTGTGTGTTCCTTTTTTGATGACAAATTGTCACGAGTGCATTGATGCAAAAAACTTAAATGAAGCGACATGCTGTTGAAATGTCTACAACGCCCTAATTCAGAACCGCCCTCTATGGCCAGCCCCTCTGCCCCAGCCACGCCCTGCTGCCCATTGGCAGTGGGTTAGCCCTTTCCCGGCCTGGCTACTGCTGCTGCTGCTGCTGTTGTACTGTCCACAGCTCGTTGCATGCATATAGAAGATTCAAAACAAAGTACGTTGCGTGCACTTGCAGATACTTGAGCGTCGACGACGTCCATTGTCAATTTTTGGGCTTGTCTCTGGCAGCCGTTTCTACTTGCTGTTGCCTGCTCTTGCTGTTGTGGTTGTTGTTCCTTTCGTGTTCGGTGGCTCATCATAATGAACAATGTGAATGTAAAACTTGAAAACTAATATGCCGGGCAATGAAAGGAGCAGCAGGCCAAGTAACGAGCAAAGAGTACCAAGTGACTAAGCCCGCAGTTCCCAGTTCCCAGTTCCAGACCCAGACCCAGACCCAGACCGAGAACCCAAACTGAGCCCCAAAAAACGACGACAATGGTTGGGTTATCTGGCTACCTCTTTAAGCTGTTGTTGTTGCGACTGCTCTCGGATTACAGCCAAAAAAAAAAAAAAAACAGAACAAGAACAAGAACATACGAGCGACGCTGTTGCAATTGAAAACCGAGCTTGACATTTCTGCTTCTTCTTCTTCTTCTTCTTGCTGCTGTTGTTGCTATTGTTTTCGTGCTGTTTTGCTGGTTTTATGGATTGCCAAAAACAAAATTGAACTTGGACTGAGCGTCTGGTTTGAGCAAGCTTTGGCTGGTTACCGTTAGAAGGCGGCATACATCCTAACTTCTGTCTCACTTTCACAGTTTCTGTTGGAGTCTTTGGCATTTTTATGTTTTCCTAGAAGCGTAAGCAATATGTCGCTGCGGGTGCGGAATTCCCATTTGGGATCGAAGGGATAGACAGCGAGAGTGTGTGAGAGAGCGAGAGCCAGAACGAGAGAGAGCGAGTGAGTTGCCAATTAAATAAGCTGTGTTTGTAACACAAGTAAACAAAATGAAAACGAAACGAAATGAAACGAAACGAAATGAAAGCAAGCGAACCGAGTGCCTGGCAGCAATAATTCAATTAGCACTGTTTCGTTTCATAAAAGTATTAGTTGATTTTTTTTAATTAATGTGCAGTTATCATGCAATCCGATTAAGAGGCGACTCCACTCGACGCGACTCAAGTCGACTCGCCTCGCCTTGCCTGGCCTGGCCCCAGCTCCAGCCACTCCGTTGAACTCGTAATTGCAAACTGTTTGTTATTTGTAGTCCAAGCGGCCAGAGTGTCGTTGTTGTTGTTGCAGTTGCATTTGTTGTTATCTGCCAAGAATGCTAATTATAAGATTAGTGGGGAGAGACCGAGCTGTAAAGTAGCCTGGTATCTCGGCATCTGCAACTGGGTAGCTGATAGCGCACACGCACGAGACAATGGTTGACAACAATGTTGAGACTTTGCCTGCCTGTCAGCAGATACAGATACAGATACAGATACAGATACGGATACACATAAAGATACAGCTACAGTTACAGGCACACTGCTATATAGAGACACGAAATGCGTTTTCCCTCTAGCTTGCCATATTTATTTCGCATTCGGTTATGCTAGTTTGCCGAATGCAATGTTTATTTAAGAAATATGTATCTGCGCAATGTGTTAGATAATATGTTTGCTAACACGCATTCATGAGTGTGTGTGTGTGTGTGCACATATGTGGTTGCCAACCAGCATTGATTTATAGACTTTGCACATTTCGGGGCTTGGACTGTGAATCAATAGAACATGGCATTACACAGAGAAAGCCTCTATTCTGGACGAGCTCTTGTTGAACCAAATGCAATTAGTCCTACTTTGGTAAAGGGAGAGACAGAGAGAGAGAGAGAGGGAGAGGGTTACTTTATTATATATATTCATGGCTGATCATGATATTTGAGTTGAATAGCTGTTCAACTGGCTTTTGTGGGCTCTCTCTGTGCACCTCTGCCCCGCTGCCCCTTTCAGTTAATCCTTTTTGTCTGTCGATTATTTCCCATCAACTGCAATTCTAGTTTGAATATATGTTTTATGTTTTCAATGCTGCAACAAGAAGAAGACACATCAGCATCATCAGCAACATCATCAACCGCAGCAGCCGCAACGACAGCACAAACAACAACAAGTTGTAGTACGTCACCCAGTGCAGCATGCGGAGCATACATACGTACACATATGTGGCTATTTGTGTGTCTGCCCCATCTGCCACGCCTCTGTAGCATCATATATGCTTTTCTGTTTCTGTTTTCTCTCTCGCCTCTTGCTTCTACTCAGCTTCTCTCTCACTCTCTCTCTCTCTCTCGCTGTCTGTCTCTCTGGTATCTGTCGTGTGCATCTCTTGAACTATCAATTTAAATGTCAGTTTAAATTGTTGAATTTTTCATTTCGTGGACTTCGTGCATGAAAACTATAAAATGCTTTTTATTGTTTTACGTTTTTTTCTCTGTGTATATATTTTTTGTTGTTTTTGGGTTTTAATCTTTGAAAACTTTGCTTAGAGAGTTGAAGAGCGAGGCAAGGCTATAAGAATGTGTCCACACACACACACACACACACACACATGTATGTATGTCTCTATGTATGTATAGAGATGTTCGCTGATATGCGACGGATGAGGGACTTTGGGGCACTTTAGGCCATGGCTGACTCCGGCTTGTTTTGGATTTCTGTATGGCGTATGGCGTATGGCGTATGGTGTATGGGGCTGGCTGGCTTTCAACATTTGACAGCAGCTGTCAAAAAAACTTGAAAGAGTTTCGCCGAGACATAGACTCGAGTCCAAGACGGGCGGGCAACTTGCCCCAGAGCCCAAGTAAAAGTTGCAATGTATTTGTTCTCTTTGTTATTGCCACTTGGGGCACTTGGGGCCCTTTTTGTTTTTGGCAAGTTACCAAGTTGTAGTTCTGCTTACCTTTTCTCCGCATGCCAGAGAGCACTGCCAGTCAACTGAAATGTAAGCAAAACATCACAAAGTCTGTTACAATAAAAGCTTAATAAATGTTTCTCTAAAATATTATTTCATATTTTATTCAAAAGATCTTTCTGAAGCTGCTCTGCTGCCTCCAGCAAAGACACCCATGAAATGTTAGACAAATCGATTTCATTAGCGAACCAGACGTGGGCTATTAATTTGTGTGTTGTGATAAAGTTTGGGAACAACTTTACAGTTGCTGGGAGACAAAAGCCACAGCAAGACAGAAGATGCTGAAGTCTCAATATTGTTTTGAGAAAGCTTAATTGTTCCTCAACTAGATTCTCAGTGCAGCTGAGAAAAGCTTCTAATATCGCGTCCGATTGTTGTGTATTTGAAAGAGATTTATGGTCTGCATGGTGTTAAGGCCAGAGTTATTTTTGGTCTTTAATCTTCGCAGCTTGTCTCGAGTCGCTTCGTCTATGCATCAGCAGATAATTTGTACAGTTCTTTTGTCTGGCCATTAAATGCCAGGCAGACAGCCAGCCAGCCAGCCAGCCAGACGATAATTGATGCCACCGTGCAGATGATTCAATGTGGCATAACAAAACCACATTTTTGGCAACTGTTGGCCATCAAGTCAACAAGTTATTTGCCAAATTTGGCATTGATTGGAATCGGTTTTGACTGCCGGCACAAAAATCAACACAATCAAATTAATTAACTTGTTGTGCGCAATTAAAATGTCATTAAGCTATTATCGGCTTGGCATTATGAAAGGTTTTGTTGCCAAAATGCAAGGCGCCCTTGACATAAGCCGATATGGTTTTCGCGCCGAGGGTAACCGGGCAGGGCACAGAGGGCAATGTGCCAAAGTCAAAGGAGTCAACTGCAACTGCAACCCCGGCCCGAGTCTTTGTCTACTGTTTGCCATTTGTCTCCTGTTGTTGATGTTGCCCTTTCAAATTGCCAATTATCGATGAATTTGCAAAAATACAAACAGACAGCAGCGAAGGGGCGCGGCTGCGTTGGCAGCTTAAGCGGCTACAGGACCCTCTCTATCCCACTCGCACTCTCACTCCATGTGTGTGTGGTTCCTGTGCAAAGGACGCTTGTCGTGTCCTGCCTGTCAATATATTGCAATTCGGTTGTTGGGCTTGGCGCACAGAGCTGCCTGCGAGGGTTACGTGGCCTGCTCTGTAGCCCGTGCTGCGCTCTGTCTGCTAGAATTATGCAAATCAAATGGCACATATCGATGTCAGTTGCAATATTATTGCTGCAATTGAGTATTTTGCATTGCAAGCAATCAACGCTTGCCAGCGAGGGGGAGGAGCTTTGCGTGCAGCAGGACTTGGGCGTTGTCTGCATGCGGACAATCCTTCAAAGCATAAGCAGAGCTAAATTGATTCTTTTGACAGAACTGCAAATAGCCGAACGACTCCTTAAACAGTTGAAAACGTCTGTTTTAGAAAATGTGAACTGAAATCCGAGCCAGGCGGCAGCTGCTTCGGGCCCTGCCTTACAGCCACACCCTTCAACTGGCTATTGCTTTTTTTCTTATCATTTTTACATATGACTGCCTCTGTCAAAAACTTTTAAGAAAACGCACGAGAGCAAAGGAACCCGGAGCTTAAAGGGAGAGAAAAAAGGTTTTGCTTTTAATAGAGAAACCTAAGCAAACAGCAGAGTGAAAGAGTTTGAAATTCGTTTCGGTCCTGGGTCTGCGATTTCCTTTTCAAATCGATGCACAGAAAATGGAAAAGAAATGAAAATACAAGTTGAAATTAATTCAGCAGTAAATACAATTTACAGGCATAAACGAGGCAGCAACGACTTTTGCTCCTGCCGCGGCGGCTGCTATTTAAAATTCAAATTACAAATCCTTCGGCTGGCAGATCTGGCAGTGCAACCCTTTCATATTTGGCTGGCTTTGCTCTTCTGGATTGGTCTTAGTTAAAATTCCGCGCACCGACACAAATCGAACCCCTGTAAGCCCTCCGCCTGCTCCGCTCGTTGACTTTCTTCGCTCGAGCGCTGAACCCCTCGAGCTGATGTCATTGTGCTCGTCCTTTGCCCGGGATGAGGCGCATCTCCCAGCTCGCAACTCATTTGAATATGCTGCTGCGTGAGAAAATTGTCAGCATATTGATTCAATGATTATTAACAGTTATGCGCATATTTAATTGCTGTCTCTGGCTTATCTCAGTTGCATTTCGATTGCACTAAGTTGAAGTGCAAATATGCAAACGGCCGCAGAAATTGACAAATATTTGCACAGCACCCAAAACTGATTGACAGTCGAGCTGGGAATTGGAAAAGCATTTATAAAGTGTGGCACAGCTGCTGCTGCTGCTGCTGCCACTGCTGCTGCTGCTGCTGCCGCCACTGCTTCTACTGCTGCTGCTCGTTTTCCCGCTCCACAGTCCAGAGGCAACTTCATTTACATGACGCGCAGCTGACCCTTGTCTCTTCGCCGGCTCAACTGGAGTCGGGGTCAACGCTGCTGCTGATTAGCCCGAAATAGAGGCGTAATTAGGCGACGTTTGTAGCACGGAAAAAGGTCGACAGACGCACACAGAGAGAGAGAGAGACAGAAAGAGAGAGCACAGAGAGGCGGTGCCGGCGCGCACAAAGGATCAAATGGTTTTTATAGGTACTATGCTCTCTACTATCTAATTTAGCCTTACCGCCTTTTATATGCTCTTCAGCCCTATAGCCAACCCCATGTCCCTTTCCCATGTTCCATGTCCCTTTCCCATTTCTATTTCCATTCCCAATTCCATTTCCATTTCCACTCTATGCCTGACTGGCTGGGCTTGGCTGTGCATTTGGCAGCGTGTGGCTGGTGGCGCGTCTTGTTTTGCATGTGGCAGGCATTTGTGGATGCCGACGTTGATGAATGCGCCGGCCTGGCAGAGAGCGCAACTACAACGCACTCGCCACAGAGCCACAGCTCAGGCCAAAGCCCACGCCAAAAGGTAGAACCAAAACTAGAAACCTAAAAGCCAAACCAAAAACCTTCGCGCTGCTTAAATTCCTAACCATCAAAGTTGTTGCTGCTGCTGCTGCTGCTGTTGGTGTTGGTGTTGCATGTGGCATATTTGCTTGTTGGCTCTTCGGCTGGCGCATTAATCAGTTGCCAGGCTTGGGTTGGGGTTAGACGTGGCCATGCGCCCTGCCTGTCTGGCTGCCAAACTATGCGCCATGCCCACGAGCAGCTCTAGCTCCCATCTATCTCTGCGGCTGCTGTTCCTGCTGCTGTTGTTGCCTTATTATTCCACTGTAATTAATAAAGATTAAGCGTTGTGACACAGCCAGCACCAGACGACGGCCAGACAACCAGGAGGACTGACAAGTGAACAAAGTTTCAGCAGACAAGAGAGATGGAGAGAGAGAGAGAGAGACAGAGTGAGAGAGAGAAACTTGCTTGCATCTCGGGTTAAGCGCTTGAAACATTTTTAGTTGCCCTGTAATTTTGGCTGCTTTCTGTTTTTGGGCAGATGATTATGCACTTGACAGTCTCAATATTTTTAGCATAACAAGCAACAAGAGAAACCTCTGAAGATAAATGAAGCAAAGTTTTTAGAACTGCAACAGAAACAGCAACAGCAACAGCAACAGAAGCAGACAGTAAAATTAGTATACGAAGGGGAAGGGGAGTATCTTCTGAGAAACATATTTATATAATTAGTAAGCTCAAGTGGGAAAACTTCATTTTTATATTTATCGAATGATAATACTTAGCTCTATTTAAGACTGTCTGGTTTTATTACCGAACTCCTGATGTTAATACTCTACAGTATTTTATGGTGTCCATATAGATAGAGCTGCACACTTAATTTTGATGCCATGTGCATTAGGATCATGCTCTCATAAATGGTTTTATAAATATATACGTAACATGTATATCTGTTCATCTTGTGGGAAACTGAAACTGCAAGAGCATTTTATAAAATAGTCATAAAATCGTATATAGCTCACATAAATTGTGCTCTGTGGATCATACTGCCTTATTTGTGGATTTAATAAGGTCTCATGTTGCACGTTTTGCATACAACTCGATACCCACACACACACACGGCCATAACATATGGCAATAAACATAAACTAAGATTAATGCATTCATATATCACTCAATATAAGACGAAATGAACCATTAAAAGCGAAAAACTTTGAATGCCTAACAAGTGATGGAAAAACAAAATTCGCCTTAATAACTGCGAGAAACTTATGAAAAATTCAAATTGGGTCACAAAGTGCAGCGTAGCGTGTGTGTAGCTACATAGCTATGTATCCATAAGATGTATCTATGTATCTGTAGATACTGAAACCCAAATCGAAATCGAGGCGTCGTCTGCCCAGTGTCGTGTGTGCGCGTTGGTGTACTAATAGTTAATTGCACTGGTAATTAATAATGTTATTTATTAGACACACACACACACATACATACATATATATGTATATATATAGATACCGAACGACGATGACCTCACCCAAATGTGCGCCGACTCGTGCCCATCTTGCTGCTGCTCCCCTACGCTGAGCTCTCTGCTCAGCTCAGCTCAGCTCAGTTCAGCTCAGCGCTGCTCTGCTCTGCTCTGTATGTGTGTCATTAAGTAAATTAAGTAAATAAACATATGCCAGCCACTGTGCCAACACTGAGCCATAATTAATTGCCAGTCAGCCGGTGCTCGTTTTAGGTGCCACAGCCACAGCCACTGCGATTGCGACTGCGACTTACCCCCAGCAAAGCTGCCTTCGCTGCCTTCAATGCAGACAGCTGCCCCTTCACTCGCACTCATCTGTGGCTCAAGCGCGTTAGTTGTTGCGCCCTTTAAGCAGGCGCAACACGCCTCTCTACATTTAGGGCTCTGCCGGACGCGACTCGAGCGGACCAGAGTCCCGAGCTGAGCTCCGTATCTGGCTGCGAAGTCTTGTTGTATGCGCATTTCAACGCCTTCATTTGCATGCGTTTTATGGCTTAATAGGCGCAGGACACAGCTAACAAGAGAAAGGCCGCTGCTTATCTGCGCAACGTTTTTGGCCAATAGATTATTGATAAGCAGCCAAACAACAACAGCAACAGCAACAACATCAACAGGCATTTGCATTTCATTGACGCCCAAGTAAGGGTAACCCTCGAGGCTGCCTGACCAGCTAAATGTGGAAAGTTGGTAGAGGCTTTGTTTTCTTTTTTGCCTAAATATTGATACCCTTACGGAGAGTTATATTATTATGTCAAGAAATATGTAAGCCAAAGGGCGGACTGCATAATTTATATACTTGCAAATATTTATATTCAAATGGAACCAAGAATAGTTGAGAAGCGGAATCATAGCTCGAGTCTTGAGTTTTACAGATCTACAGAGTCTGTTTCAGCTGGAGAACTAAGTCAAGTTTTTAAATAATATAATGAATAAATCTTGAGGAAGTATATGCAATCTTCGTCTTGGCAAAGATTAGGAATCCCGTTTATATTTTTGCAGTTACTTTTTGGCTTTTTCGATGGCGACTTCCACGTAATTGCGTGAGGAGCTGCAAGTTGCTGCTGCTTTTGTGGCACATTTGCGCAGTTAACTTACGCATATTGCGGCACGTCATCAGATCTGGCCACAGGCCAAATGGACTGGAACTGAGCTGAAAGTGGAACTGGAATTGGAGCTGGAACTGGCACTGGAACTGTGCACTGGCCCCCTTGACCGGTCTGGCAAATTGAGACACAACTCGACAGGAGCGAGGCAAGAAAAGCATTTAATTTACTTTTATTGTACCTGCACGATTTATTGAAATTGCTTATCGATTGTTGTTCCTTCAGCGAGTGCGTTGCATACCCCGTATTGTTATGCAAATGTATGGAAAGCAGAGACTGAAGATCAGATTCATTTTTTGTATAAAAAAGACATTGCTGGCAACGGCTTGTCCTGCCATGGATTTCGATACGCTACTTAAAATCTTGCAGAATATTTAGTTGAACTGAGAAGTGGTAGAAGCCGCTTCAAGCTAATATTGCACATCAAATCAACGTTTATTCGACTGCTGATGGCGTTCATTGAGAGTGCACTACATGAGGCTCTATGTGCTGGCAACCTTCAGCTCACTTTATGGCTTGGCTGGCATTTGGAACTCATCTCCAATTATGTTAATTGTACGCTGCAGCTAGCCAGACGCCGCTGATTCGGGACTCGCATAAGAAGTTTTATATGAGTATGGCAAGTGTCGGAGCTGCCATTTAGTCAGACACGTCAGCACATTTGTCAGCCAAATGTCGACGCTCGTGCCGTTGCCGCTGCCATTGGCTTTGTCAGGCATATAAAAACGTATATCAATAGCAGAAATTGCCAATTGATAGGCGAGCGAGTATCTCTCTGCGATATCTGCTCGGATCGGGGCAATGCATTGCCCGCTTGTAATCTGAACTATTTGCATATTTATAAGCATTCGCCAGTACCGCTAACCGCCTCGGCAGTCAGTCAGTCTGTCTGTCTGGCCGTTTGTCCAATTTATGTTAATTGCATGGAGCTATGAAATTAATACTTTTTATCGCTTGCTCAATCGCCGCGAACTTGTAGCTCACATGTTAGCTGTAAATTAAGTTGACAACTTGGCGCTGCCGCTGACACAGCTCTCAACTGCTCCACTCGAGTGGCGGAGACCCGGTCGGAGTCTTGTTTGGCTTACAATTGAAATTAGATTGTTGCACAGATAAATCAGTTAGCCAGCTGCTGCCATGGGCTTTGCTCTCTGCCAGGCCTCCATTATGATTAGATATGCTCAGCCTGAGCCTCTAAGAGTTAAGGCTTAGCTGTTAGCCAAATGCCTCATTGACATTCTCGAAGCTCATATCAATGCCTCACGGTAAACAAAAGGTATTCAAGTGTCTGTGACCGGCACAAAGAGAAAAATAAACTCTCGGAGCTGTCTCTCTGTCAGCTGCACGGCACAAACTGTCCGCCGATGATGACGACAACGCCGACGACTTCAATTGACGTGCCTCAAACTGACTATGACTGTGCGTGTGTGTGTGAGTGTGTGTTGCTATTTGACAAGCATTCATTGAGCTGGGATCTCAGTCTGTCTGTTCGTCATTTCGTCAGTTGGTGGGTACACTTTAGTACGCAAATAGTAGCCGCTATTTAAACGGCAAAGCAACTGCCATTAGCTGTGAGCCAGCGGCCATGTCTGGGCCTACGCTGCTGTCTACGCTTGGCTGGCTTGGCAGTTGGGCCTGGCCAGCAGTTCGACTCCGATTGCCGCTGTCTTTTCTATTATTTAGCAAATATTTAGAATATTTGAGCAGTGGCTCCAGCACTTGGCTACCGCGCGCGCTTGAGCAAACAAATCATGTGCGCCTATGGAGGATCGAACTGAAGAATTGTACGTCAAAGTTTTTTATTACTTCATATTTTGTGTTTAAATATTTAAGAGGCAGGTGTGCGTGTGTGTGCCTTTTGGCAAAAATGAAAAACAATACAACAAAAACTTTCTATAAACATGGCTATGAAACATGGCTAAAAGCCACCTGCTGGCCGCGACTGCCTGGCTGCCGTCTTGGCCTTTAACCTCTGCGAGCTGGTCAGGCGCAGGCTTGTTGTGCGCGCACAGTGAGCTGGTAAGGTTTTATATCTGCATCTGCATATTGGCCAGACGACGTTGTTAACAAGCTTGTTAATAAATTACAAACAAAATGGCCATAAAAAGTGCCAGGCATAAATCAATGACGCCTCCTCTCTCTCTCTCTCTCTGTCTCTCTTTCTCTTTCCCTTTCTCGCTCTCTGGCTTTGGCTCTTGCTCTTGCTCGTTGTCTTCCTCGTCGACCTCGTCCTTCCGTTGCTTATGACTTGCTTAGCTGCCAGCTCGCAGTAGTCTTAACAGCCAACTACTATCGGCTAGCAACAACTACTAACTGGCCGCAGCTTCGACTGGCCATGCATAAATAAATAAATAATAGCGAGTGTGGACACAAAACAGACAACGAACAACCCAGTCGAAACTTATGTATAATGTGCTATTATTAAAATTGATATAGCAAAAACTGAAAATTATGCTGCGGTAACAAATATCGCAGCCAAATAAATTCAAATTAATCAATTGACAGCGGCCACAAAAACAACTCAGGGAAAATACTTCATTAAAATGCGCGACATGCATAAATCAATTCAATTAGTTGGCATTATATCTGGGCTTCATCTTTATCTACTTCTTAGCTTATTTTACTTTTATTTATATATCTGTTTTGTTTTTGCTTTTTATGTTGATAAAAGTTTTCAATAGGAAGTGATTATAAGCAAAGGTTACTCAACGGAGTCAACACTAATAATTTCTACTCTTTAAAGGCTATTGACACTTGGTGAAGATTTCTGGGATACAGTGAGTATGTGTACGGATAGTCTATGCATACGAGAGCTGTTGGAAGGGGGATCATCTATCACAATAATGTGAATAGCATATGAGCTGCTCGCTTCTATCTTCATTCAAGAACAGGTTAATGAAACTTTAAATTGTTTTTTTTTTTTTTGAACCGAATGTACCAAATACGCGCACATTTGTTGACGTATGTGTATGTTGGATGTGGGCATGCCGTTTTTATGACATATGTACATTCTCATTGCAGTTCAGTGTCCGACAGTTATTGCATATGAAATGCAAATGCCATTTAGTGAATTCAACAGGCCGCCAGGCACATCGTTATATTGCTCACTCGGCTCAATTTTATGGCCCTGCTCATTTCGTGTCATAAAAAAGCATTTTCAACACATATTTTTTTAACGACAAGTGACTATAAAAGTGCCTGCCAATAACAACAACAACAACAACAACAAGACACAAAAGTAATAGCAACATGAAGACAACAATAATGAAAACTTACCCAGCATTTGCAGCTTGCGGCCCAAAGGCGTTGGCGTTGGCGTTGCTTTTCTGCTGGCGACTGCAATAAACAGAGTGGAGAACACAATGTACAAATTATAATAATGATACATATGTATATGTATGTGAGTCTGTATAGGTAGCATGTGATATATATGTATATGCCCCAGAGGTGTGCACTCTTCCTCCGCCAGCTCTGTATTAAATTAGCTAAAATTACTTTGAATTTATAAAGCTAACACACACACTGAAAGGAGACGCCATGTCATGTCAGATCATTAAGAAAATATGGTCAAAAATGTTTCAATTAAAAAACCAAACTAGACGAAGGCATTAAAACACACAAACACAGACGCACATAGAACTGAATGAAAACTGATTGTAGGCGGACAAGTTTGCCATAAATTGTGTAGGCCACTTTACTGTCAAGTCATTAACAGCAACAACAACAATGGCAGCAACAGTGTGGCAAGTGAATCATTAACAACAAAGGTAAGCCAAAAATCGAAAGACTCTTTTCTGTTTGTTCTGTTATCTGCCGCAGTTCCAATGGACTTTATTTACGTTGCCGAACATCGAATACCCTAATATAGATATTTGATATATTATTATGTATATGATATATATAGACTAGATTGGCAGCTTTTTCTTTGTTCTATCAGTTCGATGCTGCTAAGCTGCCATTACTAAATTTTATTGGCATATGTCTAACTAAAAGAGTGTGTGGAAACTTAAGTTAAGTTCTGATGAAAGATTTATTTATTTTATTTTTACGGTCAGCTTAGGTTTAGCAATATTTGCTGAACATTCAAATGTGCCTCTGAAAATGTTGACAGACGAGTGACAGTCTAGCAGTCGGTCAGATGGGACTATATCGATTAAAGTAGTAATAAAGATATAAACGAAGTTTATCTTAACTTTATCTTAATTATATATTATAATGTTGCGTTTTAACTTTAGATTGCTGTTAACTGACACAAAATAAATTCTAAAAAATAAATTTTATATGCATAGAAATATGCATTAATAGCTACTCATTTATTAATAGCTACTGCAAGGAAGAATTAATTTTATAATATGTAAAATGATTGACATTTGATACCATTCATTCATTCGCATTTGCCTCAGTTTTTGTTTTAGCGAATCTGCTGTGCAGTCGCTGACACGTGCCTCGACAGTTTATGCAAATTATTTGATGGTCCATAACATTTTGTAGCGCATTTGAATTAAAAAGTGGTTTTATATCTTTTAGCCAGTCATAAAAATACACACACACACTCAGCTTAAGTTTTTTTCTCTCATTTTTTGGCAGGTGCAATAAACTGTTGCGGATTTGTGTGATCTGGGCTATTCAATTTCTCAGTTTGTCAGTTTCGTATTTTTATAGGTTCCCGGTCGGTGTTAGTCAATTTATGCATTGGCCACAGGCCCAAATAAAACTGAAACTTAATAGACACGAAAAGCTGACAGCATTCGCTGCGCTGAAAACGCAACGAAACGCTTGGAAATGCTGAGACTAATCGAAGACCAAGCCAAAAAGCTGATATAAATAATCTATGAATATAAAAATATATATATTTATAATTATTAATATTTCTAGCAGTTATATAAATTTATATATTTATATTTATGAATATTTCTAGTTATTAATAAATTTAGAATATATTAGATAAAATTGAAATCTAAGGCAAAAAATCTAAACAATTACTCTCTCTATCCCTGCACGATATATTCAGCTTATACAAAACTATGTATAAATCGAAGTTAATTTGAAAAGCATCTGCAGTTAGAGTCCGAAATGTGTTTAAAGATAAACTTGTTTGTTTATAGGTTTCACATTTATAAACTCTAGTGAAAATTAAAATATTTAACACTTGTTCTGCTGAACTTCTTGGCTTTGCTTTTGTCAAAAATCGAAAATCATCTCAGCAGAGAGTAAGAAAGCAAAACTTTCTGTTGTTGCTTAATGTTTTTTGTTTTGTTTTGTTTAGTTTTGTGCACGTCATGGCCTCATGGCTTGTGTCAAGGCACACAGACACCCACAATGCTGTTCGATGTCGGCACACTATAATGGAAAAATAAATCTTCAGCATGGTAAAAAGCAACAACAGCAACAAAAGCTAAGAGCCATGTAGCTAACAAAGTTTTGAAAAGGCGTTAGATTCGATTCGGGCTCGCGAGTCGCGAGTCGCGCGTCTCGCGCGCGTTTTTCAGTTGCGCACATCAAAGCGTCAAATGCCGCTAAACAAAATGCCCACACTTGGCAGTGAGTGTGCAAGCGTGTGTGTGTGTGTGTGTCTGTGCGTGTGTGTGTGTTGTGCAACAACAATTCAACAAATGCCTAATTGTCTTGGCGGCACTCGTAAAACCTACAAAATTATTACGGCAAAGGAGAAAAAAAACTAAATAAAATAAATATATAAAAGAAAGAAAACACGAAAAAACGCGCCACTTCACATGTTGAGATCGTTCGGATCGGGTTCGCAACTTTGAGGGCAACGGGGCGACAAAAGTGCCAAAGGGTAAACTAATGACAGTTTAATTTACTCCCATTGCGATGAAGTGTAACGACTCTCAAAACTCAATTAGACCCGGCCGGGCAGGTAGCTCAGCCAGCGATGGCTCAAATTGCCGCTTTTGGCCAAATGCGGCTCTAATGCGATGGCGATGGCGATGGCGATGGTGACGTTGCGACTGCTGCTGCAGGTGCAACATGCGACTCAAAAGAGAGAAATGCATAATTTGTACACTTTATGAGCGGCTCTCAAAAGGGCAAGGCGAGCGCGGGGCTGGCCACATAATTCCACCTAGCCGCGGCCTCAACTCAATTAATTCACCTAGTTTATGTTTATAGCCCTGTTTGACGCATATTTCTGGGCCATAAGTTGCGATAAGAACGGCAACTCCTTTAACATAATGAACTTTTACGCAATGCGTATCTCATAGATACATAGATACAAAGCAGCAGAGTTCGCCCAGCCGAGTGGGCAACCACCACCTTCGTCTGGGAAATTTATGTTATTGAGGTCGTAATTTTGTACAATATTATTGCATTTATATATCGTAGGCGCTGCCCCTAATGAGTTTTTCAGTTCGTCTCCTTCAGCGATCTGTGAGCCAACAAATTTATGCATTGCCATTGTTTATAAGGCCCCAAAGGTGGGCGGCTGTGTTTCCAGTTGCCAGTTGCCAGTTTTTAGTGAGCTGCCTTTGAGCCATTAAGCTGTGAGATGCGTTTCTGAACTGCTTAGGGTTTTGAACATTTTTATAGCAATGCCGCAACATGATGTTGATGCTGTTGTTGTTATTGTTATTGCTGTTGTCGCTTTTGCGGCTGCAGCAACGCCCATGCCATGCTCTTTTGGCTAACGTGCATTGTGCGTAGGCGTTGAGCTGTTAGGCTGTGAAGGATCTCGGCATTGAGACGGCCATTTAACATCTACAGCAATCTCATCATGTGTCGACTAATTGGCAGACATAAGCTCCGCTGTACTCCACTTTAATGGTTACTTCATTTAATAGAGGCCACAGAGTATCTCACTCAATAGCACAAACAAAGTACGAGCTGGACTGTTGGCTATCTAACTCACTCATAGTATCTTTTACTTTTACATCTTAGAGAGCGAGAGAGCTTCGAGATGAGGTCACGCCCCGCATATCGCAGCAATCAGCAGCCATCAACAGCCATCAAAAGTCAACCACTGAGCAACACCTATCCGTCAAGAGGTGAAAAACTGTAAATATCAAAGAGCACTTGAGAGTAGCTGTCATGCTCTAATTTTGAATGCTTTCCACAGTCTGCTTGGATCGCATTGCCACGTTGTGGTCGTGGCCAAGACAAGGTGTGACTCTCTGGCTGCACTTCCTTATCGGTGGCTTTCACAGCACGTCAGAAGGCGAATTCAATTAGACAATACAAAAGAAATAAAAACTCGAAAGACCGACGGACGGACAGACGGACAGACGGACAGACGGACCAAAAGGCATTCTAACTAAATGGCATTCACCTGTCCGGCTAAATAACATCGCACACAGGTGTACAGCTGTCAATATGTTGGCGCCAAACGAGAATTTTGTTCGAGTCAAAGATCCATGGCCATCCATTAAATGCCTACCGTCAAATCATAATTCATTTTTTACCCTGCGCCGCTTCCTCTTCCTCTTCCTCTTCAACAACGTCCACATCCACAGAGCTGGCTTCGCTGTGCTGTGTGCTCTTCAGCTATTAGGCGCGGCCACTCCTATGAGCCAGGCAGCTAGGCAGCTAGGCAGCTGGGCAGCTGTGGGCACAGGTAGGGCCAATCTATGCAGCCAGTTTGCACCTTGCGCAACTTCGACTCAGACTGAAAGAGAAAAGATACTCCATCGAAGGCAACAACGACAAACGATCCTCACTTATTCGGTTGCATCGCCCGCGGCGCAAGGAAGGTTCATTGATACTTTGTTGCAGCAGCGGCAGCAGCAGCAGCAGCAGCAGCATCAGCTCAGGTGCTCAATCAAAAGTAATTAATGTGCATTCGGAATTTCATAAAGAGCCAAAGGGTGAAGCGAACAGCTGAAGATGCAGATGCAGATGCGGACCAACATAGTAAATAGCATCGAGAGCTAGTATTCGCTGGCTATTGAAATGTCAGTTTCTCAAATGTGTTTTTATGGCTTGGCTAATTTGCTGTATAGATTCGCAATTTGCGTACACAGATACAGCTGATCAGCGGCAGCGAGTGCATTAGCCAACTTTGTTGCCCGTTAGCCGAAAACATGCCAAATCAAAAGCAAAAAGGCAACACGAAACTTTATTAGCCCGTTGACGCAAATTAACGTTGACCGCTTCCATTTCGCATTTCAAAGCGTCAAGCGGCCCCAACGGCTGCCAATGGGTTGCTGGCGGCGGTGAGCCGGTGGGGCAAGTGGGGCATTTGGCTGCACCACCATATCACCGGCACCCCATGGCTGCTGCCAGCAAAATAATTTGTAAATGTCAGTGCATTTTGACAGTTTGTGGTGATGTTTTTCAAATTACAACTTACAACGGCGGCAGCAGCAGCGGCAGCAAAGAAAAACTCAAACATAAATGAAAACAATTTTCGCAGAATGTAAAATGCAAAAATATCAGCAAAGAAAAAAAATGAGAGAAACGAAACGAAAAACACAATTTTTAATTTCAGTTTTTATTAATACTTCGGGCATTTTTCTGTCACTGTCAGACTCTATCAAATATATTTAAAATTCGGCTTGCAAATGGATTTGCAGAATGCAAATGGACACGTGACAAGATTTCGACAAGATTTAAGCTGCGAGGCTTACGAGCTACGAAATTATAGAATTCATTTATAAACATTTATCGATAAAGAAAGGCAAATCTATGATTGAAGGATGAAGTATTTGCTGTGCTAAATCTGATATCAATATTTAGTTTAGATTTTGAAGTATTTTCTAATTATTGAGACATCTCTATTGAGCGTAGTAC